CTGTAGCTATATTTCCATGTGAAATCGGCGATCATGTTATGGCCAAGATTGTCTCTTTCCAAGTCTTAGAAATGTTGAATTTACTCGATTGATGTTCAAACAGAAATTTGAAGTAAAACTTTTTCATCTTGGAGTTAGATGCATATTGGGTCATTTCATTTAAATTTGTAATAATCTTAATTTCATCAACTCCTTAGGAGTTAGTTGTTCAATTTTTTTTGTGATCTCACTGGTAACTTCAAATTTTTACACGAGTGCAATCTGACTATTACCTTTATGTGAGTAATTAATTGAACAGGTATTTGAGACTTGAATAATTGCAATGTACTTGTTTGATTGATAATGGTATTAGGCCATAGCCTTGCCCCATACTGAGGGTGATTATACTCACGGGATCTTTCCAAATGCATCATCAACCATGTGGAAGGTTGAGTCTAAGTTTTATCTATCAGGATCAAGTTAGAAAATTCCGGACACTGAAGAATAAGAAAAAAGAATGATAGAAAGAAAAATGGGCTTGGATTTTTTATTATAGTGTTCATCACCATTACACTTTTAAGAGAGCATAAATTTTACACTTTTCGATGGTGTAATTTTTTCAGGGTTATGACATGAGTTTTCTCATAACCAATTTTTTTCAGGGTTATGACATAAATTATATTCCTAAATAATCTCCCATTACTGCCATCCTTTCTGATCATATGTATTGTTAGCATTTGCAGTGGAAAACCCATCGAGCTGTTTTGTTTGAAGTCTGATCGTGCAACTGAACGCCATTATTGCATGGAAGAAAAACAATGGTGCTGGGTACCAGAGACTTCTCTTTTACTTCATAAATAACTAAGTGCTATAATTTAATATGATAAGAAATTGTGAACCTTTCCACTGGATTGTTTAACGGGTAAATTGCTATAATTTTCCCTCCCTGTTGTATTCTAATTAGACTGAACCAGTGGATTCTGTCAAAGGCAATTTCAAGATTCATTGTTCAAAGTACGTTGGCAAGATGCACTTTGGAAATAATGGATGATGGTAATTCTAGATTCTGATAAATCTGGTAATTCACAGGCCAGTTGCCTTTGTATCCTATCCAAAATTGTACATTAAGCCCATATTTTTCAAACTCTCTTATCTATATATTCATTTTCAACTACACATTTATACAATAAAATATTTTGTACATAAATTTAAATTTTTTCCTTATTTTGGATTGCATTTTTTTTAAAAATCACTATTCAAAACTCTATTTTTTGAAAAATATGGCTGTCAATCAGGGGTTAAACGTGCACCCAGTTTCTTCGATTTAATGCAAAATGGCATTTCAATTTTGATCATTATTGCAACTGATCTAGATGACGCGACGGAAAAAAAATATACATAAGTGTCCATAGTTGTATCTATTTTCAGTATTTCTATTAGGCAATGGGTGCTTACCAAAATTAATATTTTCTTTTCAGATTTAGTT